TGTATTTATATCAGCTGACTGATGGATGGATTTTCTTTTGTTCAGTCTTCTCTTGTTTATAGAAAAACAGTCATACTTTATACTGGAGTGAGTCACACATTTCATCTAAAACAGTTCATTATTGAGCTGTCTCCTGCACGGCACTCTCATTTAGGTCTCCAAATAGAGCATGATTAGAGTTGAATTCAATTCAGAAATACTGTATTAATCCCAGAGGGAAATTCAGTAATCCCAGAGGGAAATTCAGTAATCCCAGAGGGAAATTCAGTAATCCCAGAGGGAAATTGAGACTTAACAGTTTTAAAAATGTACATATGACACAAGAACGCAATCAATGTGTTTGCCTTCACCACTACAACTAGTTATTTGCTAAATTCTAGTTTTCTTTTAAAAACTGCTTGAATAATCAGTCAGCTGCTTCTTGTTCTCATTGCTGGAAGAGCGGATCGAGTTAGGCAGAATTATTCCCAGATGATCCCGAATGGCCTTTTCACTACCAAGATCTTATTACAGTAGATTATGGAAGAAGTAAAACCGTCATTCAAGGTTTGTGACAGAATTCAACAGGGAACAGAATCCTTAACCAGGCAAATAAAAAAAAGTCTTTAAAAGTTGCTGTTGAACCAAACAAGTGTCTAGACTCAGAGTGTACCGGAACATGCACTCGTTTGTCTGTTTGTTTAAATATCAGAGCCTCAGTGCCCCAAAGGCTGATGGGAATGTCAGGAGGGGATTGTGGGGGCAGTGCTGTTATGGTGGGTCTCCTTAAAACTTTGCATCTGACTTAAGCCTGGTTTATGCTTCTCCGTCAGCTCCGCAAGGGACAGACACGCACGGATTGACGGAAGCGTTTTGCTCTCATACTTCTCCGTCTCCTGGAGAGTGTTGCAAAGCAATTGCCCGGCAGGACAGCAGAGGGCGTAGCGCTGTTCTGTGGTATCCTGTCATGTATCGGTCCACGATCGTGTGTTTATTTTGTGTTTTTTGTGTACATAAGAGACTTTTAACACGGACATATTTGTCTCATTCTCCCACCTCTTCATGCGCTCCCCACCTCTAAACCCACGTTTCCTGTCATTTCCGTCCACAAATAAAACGCTTGCTGCGCATCTTTTCACTCCTCCAGTCACGGGAGAATGAAACGTTCATATTTTTAGAGTTTTTTCACGAGGTATTCTTCAAGCTTCTCCGTGTCTGCCGCTAGTTAAACTCAGCTCTCTTTGCAATGGCGGCGCTGTAAACAACAGCGGCGTCCTGACCAATCACAAGCTTGCGTAATCCGTCTCGTTCGACGGATGTTTAAAAAAGTGGGCTCGACTCCGTACGTACTTGCGTGCCCTACGCAAGGACGGATAATGGCGTTGCGTGTCTCCGCACTGACGCAGACGGAGAAGCATAAATCAGGCTTTAGCCAACATCATGATGAGTTTTTAGTGCCTGCACTAGGATGTGTGTGTTTACCTGAAACCACATGGATGTGGGTGTTGTCCTGATGAGTTTGTCTTCTCATTTCTATCTTAAAGCTTAGACAGAATGAGTTTGGGTTTATGTGTTTGGAAGTCTTACTGAGGCTGCAGGCCTTTAGACCTTCAGGACAAATATAAATGAGGTTATGGGTCACACCAAAACAGCTAGCTGTTAGGTTTTGACACTGTCATTGACAGGCACGGTGTGTGTGTTTGTGTGTTCACTGTAGTCATTGTTTAACTGTTTCACTTCAATGCTGTGCCTTAAATTGCCTCCAGGCCTACTAAATCTGCATACTCTGTATGTTCCTTTGGTGTCCATTATGTATCCAATGATAACTCTGAGGCTGTTTTTCTTAAAGGCACGGTTGACTGAAAAAGATCATTTCTTTAACCCTCCCACATTGCTAAATGTATGGCGTCAGAATTCCGCCATATCTTGTGCACGCGTATTGTCCACATCGCACATGCGAACGGGACTCGCGCGTGGAAGATACAACCTCCATGAGTGAAGATATACATGGCAAGGAGGTCATTTGTACACTGAGAGGGAGCAAACTGTGTCTGTGAGCGCACAAGGAAGTGCACAAGTGACAAACCTGCGTGCGCGCGTTGGCCAACGAGCACACAGCAGAGGAAAACATGCGCGCGGCAGCCTCACTGCGCGTGTGGCAGCCTTTCTGCGCGCTCGGTTTCTGATTCTGCTCGCTCGGCTGTTGGAAGTTTTGGCACTCTGGAGGCGTGGAAGAATTAAAGCGCCAGAAATTGAGCACTTGAACTTTCAATTTGAGCGCAGAATTTCATATCAAGGGATATGGGAGTTCTTCATTTTCCAGGTCACAGGCAGCAGAATTTATTCAACTGGATAAAAAATGTAAATTATGTCACAATTAACTTTTGGAGCTTGGTCATTTTGAACGACCCAATGCTTTTGGAAGAATACTTTGTCATCACTATTTGAGAAAAACCTAAATAATTGTTTATATCTGACTTAAGTGTTGATTCATGAGTTTTGGTATTCAATCTTCATCTTAAAAATATATTTTAAATGTCTTCTTAAACACTCACCAGCTATTTTACCACACAACTATGGCTCACTGGATTTTTCTTTTTCTAGGTCCAGTCTCTTTAAATGGTTCTAGAAAAAAAATTATGGTATAAAACTCCCAAGTGGATTAGTCATTTCTCTGGTCAGTCTATCTCACACTAATAACCAATGACACTACAGTATATTTTCCCCCTTTCTGATGCTCAGTTTTAACTTTGGCAAGAGGTTTTTATGCCAAACTGCAATGTTGCTTTCATGTGGGCTGGCTGATCAGCCATTGATTGGTTTTAACATGTGTAAAGTACACCATGTACCTAATAAAGTGGCCAATGAGTATTACTGGTAAAAGTGCTGCAAATAAGTGAATTCCTACCTAATGGTATTACTGCATGTACAGAAACATGTCTGGCTTCTAAAAGCCCCTCAGCAGTGGCCAAGTTTGAAACCTTTTGTTAACAATAAAAAGAGCCGTGCTGTAAAGGGCGATTTCCATCAGCTGCATCCCTGTCTGTGAAGCCAAAAGGAATGCTAATACCCACAGTAAAAAGCAGCTAGTCCATTCCAACCCATCTTAATGAGCAGAATATTTCACCTGCTCCTGCTCTTTGCATTTTAAATAACCTTTATTACCAGAAGGGTTGGTCGGATCCCTGAGCACAAACGGGAGATGTAGTTATTGCTGTGTAACTGACGCCGTCTTTGCAGTCCCCCAAATGCATTGTAGATTGTATTGTTTATTTATTTATTTTATTTTTGTTTGTTTGTTTTCAGAACATATGTGGAGATTTCTTTTTTTGCAGTACATAAAATTAAAATTAGACAATAATTTGAAAAAAAGGCAACAAAGATGGGGGAGTTAAAGATTTTGTCAGATTCTGAGGAATAAAATTCAAGTACGTTGCAAAGTTTTGGGTAATTATTATTGATGAATCAATTATTTAATGAACCCGTTTTAACACTGCATCTTTCTAACATATGAAAAATTGATACATTTTAAGCAAACATATCTTTAAAAAATTGGAACAAAACTATTCAACAAAATTTAGCATTTTTTAAATAAACTGGGTATTAACTTTTAAGCCAGACAGAAAACTCACTTGAAAACATTTACAGAAATCAATATTTCTGTAAGTGTTTTAGATTCGGTAACATTGGGTTTGTATTTTCTCTGCTTTGCAAATACGTTTCTGTCAGGCCTTTATTGAAATTCTGCGTCAAACATTGTAATCTTACAAATGGCTAAAATAACAATTCTCTCATAGCTTATTTAAAAAATCCCTTTCCTTTGCCGTCTTATTTTCCAAGCATAGGAGGTTTGGCCATTTAAAAATAAGCATGAATTAAATACAATCGTAATGAAAAACATGTTTATTGAGCGAGTAATACATTTCAGATTTTATATGAGGGGCGGTTTACCACTAAATATTTCAAGAGCACATTTAAAAATTTTTTTTTCATTTCTATTGTTCATATTGCTTCTAATCAATAGTCTTTTATTCATTTCATTTGGTTTTCTTTAGGATTTGATTGGAGCTGTTTCAAATTGGTATGCCTCTTGTGCCCAAATCTTAACTACTTACAAATGACTGAGAAAATGCCCATAACTATCCCATTTTTTGCAGCTATTCTGAAAACTTGGGAACTAAATTAGCCTTATTATCCGCTGGAGATACACACTAGCTACTCCTGAACCAACAAAGGAGCAGACAATTAGAAAATCAGCGGTCTTTTCTTGACCTGTAAGCCTTTGCATTGGTTTAGAAATAAGGCATTAAAGAGATATTTTACCAATTAAAATGCATCTCTGGCAAAAAGTTAGAAATGGTTCATATAGTCCCCAATGTAGATGTGCAAAAGGCTAATCTGAAATCTTGGTGCAGCTGGAACCAACACTTTTTGCTTTTTTGTAGTACGGTAGCCCACAATGCAAACACCGTCATGTTGAATGGTGGAACACAGATGCAGGCTTTGAAGCAAAGAGAGAATTTTAATGAATGAATGAAAACAAACAAAAGAATGATGAATGATCCAGTGATTAGAGGCAGAATTAAATAATTGGAAGGAAGCAGCAGGAGGCTCTAACAACTAACCTGAGGGACGAACTATTTAACAACTAGGAGTGATAGTTAAGGGAGAGCAGCTGGGCTGATTATGGATGGAAAACAGGTGTGGAACATGACGAATGACTGGGGTGCTGAATGAAACATTCTAAATAACAGAGAGCCTATAATCTTAGAAGACACTAAAAAGTTAAATACAAAGAGTCTGGAAACAAAACATTAAGAATGGAAATAAACAAAATCTGAATAAGAGAAAATACTGAAAATAATAAAGTAAAGACAAAAAGTTGTTTTCCCTTTGTCTCGTTTTAATGATTGAATCCAACATCTTGCCCAGTATAATATATTTTGTAATGAACCACATTTCATTGTAAATCTCTGTAAAATAAAATACTTCTCTGTGTTTTTCTGTTTCTTTCATCTCAGATTGTTGGGCGGCCATGACAAGCGAGGAGGAGGAGGGCCCTGGTGTTGCAACATCCACAACAGTATCATCACCGTCAGCGGCAACAATCTCCAGGGTAACAACGGCCATAGGCAGGGGCAGTCGCAATGGTGCTTCCTCCTCACCCCTCTGCAGGCCCTCCCCTTACTCCCGCACATGTCCCATGGAATTGGAGGCAGAGAAGGAAGAGGTAGAAAATGAAGGGATTATTCGAGAAGAGAAGATTGAGGAGGAAGAAAAGGAGCAAGAGATGGCAGAGGAAGAAGAGGAGGAATGTGAGAGGGATGGTGATAAGGAGGATGGGAGCAGTAACGCCAGTGTGTTGGTTGTACCCTATCCTGAGCTGGTACCTGTGGTCTTCTTCTGCCTTAAACAGACGACTTGTCCCCGCAGCTTGTGCATCCGTATGGTCACCAGTCCATATCCTTTATTGTAAACTTTGTGATTGACGATAGTATGGTTTATCAGTCACCAGGCCACCATTATTTGCTCGGTCATTTACCTTCAACTTCTAGGCTAGGATTAGCTTTTCTAAAAGATAGTTAAAGCAGTATGAAGACGTTTTAAGTCACCAGACTGTTATTAAAGCTGTGGTCCAGTGTGGCATTATCCCTTGAATGCTTCTCTAATCACTCATCTCCAATACACTAAAGAAATCCCATTCTGTTCCTCTCATGATGAGTTTTGCAGAAGGACTTTTAAACTGTTTTGAATTTCTTTAAAAATACAAGGCAGACAGAATCTGTAACTTTGGTACTTGTTTGGATTACTCTATTGCAATTTTCTGTCTTCTTCTGGCGTCATCCCGCAGTGCATGCTGGGAACAGGCAAGGCAAGGCAGTTTTATTTATAGCACCTTACAAAAGTATAAAACTGACCAAAAAGCTTCACAGAAATTAAAAAATGTTTAAACAATACACATAATGAGAATGCATAAAAACTAAAGCGTAGAAACTAACACCAAAAAACACAAAAAAGACTCTCATGCTGAGTTAAAAGCCAAATCATAAAAATAGGTTTTCAAAAAAGATTTGAAACCAGACAGTGGAAAGGCCGACCTAATGCTCAAAGACAGCCCATCCCAGTGCCTAGGGGCCACTACAGAGAAAGCCCTGTCACCTCTGTCCTTCTGTGCAGCAGCATTCTGCACCAATTGAAGACGTGAGAAGTGGGACTGTGAAACACCAAGGTACAAAGAATTACAGTAATCAAGACTTCATGTAATAAAAGCATGAATTACTGTTTCAAAATCATTTTTTGACAGCAAGATCTTTACTTTGGCCATCCTTCTCAATTGATAAAAACTAGATTTAGTCACCACACTGATCTTCCTGTGGTTAAGACAAGATCCCCATCCAGTACAACACCCAGGGAAACCACAGTTAGTTTCAAGACCAAGGTCAACTGCACCCACCCTAGACAAAGTACTTGGACCAAAAACTACAACCTCTGTTTTTTAATCATTAAAAAGAAGGAAGTTAGAGAACAGCCACTGTCTAACCTCAACAAGACAATCTAAAAGAGAACATGATTGTGGCCCCTCTTAAAAGGCACGTATACCTGGGTATCATCTGCATAGCAGTAAAAATGTCACCCATTTTCTTAAAAATCGAACCAAGAGGTAGCAGATACAAAGAAAACAACAATGTGTCAAACACAGAACCATGGGGAACCCCACAAGAGAATGACACATCAGAGGAAGTAAAATCCCCCAAAGAGACACACAAGGTTCTGTCAGCTAGGTACGACACAAACCAATCCAGCACGACCCTGTGAACACCCACAGAGTTCCATCCTAGAAATCAGGAGAGCATGATAAACGATATCGAATGCAGCTGATTGGTCCAACAATCCCAAAATAACAAAGTCTCCGGAATCAGTCGCCAATGTAATGTCATTAAGAACATTGCCGATTCTGTATTGTGGACTGGTTCAAAACCAGACTGGATTTTTTCCAAAATGTCAAAATTCCCATCAAATACTCAGTCAACTGTGAGTAAATTACCTTCTCCAGTACTTTAGAAATAAAAGGAAGTCTGGAGATAACTGAACAAGGCAGATGAGTCGAGACCAGGCTTCTTCAGCAAAGAAGGAACAACAGCATGTTTCCAGTTCCCTGGTACAACTGCAGAGATAATGCTCTGGTTAATAATGGCAAGAACCCAAGGACCAACTGATTAAAAAATAAATAAAATAAAATAAACCTTCTTTTAAAAGCCTAGGGGCATCAAATCCAAGGGAGAACCAGCAGATTTTAGAGAGTTAACACAATCCCAAAGGCAGTCCTATGTAAGCGGCTCAACCTGACTAAAAGTAGCTGAACAGGGAGCAGAAAGGGTCTGACGGGGGACTGATGAAATCTGAGCTCTGATATTTATTATTTTGCCCAAAAAGAACCTCAAGAATGCTTCGCAAGACATCACAGAGGGCTCAATACCCACTGGTTGGTGAATATTAAGGATATTATCAATTACATTAAAAAGCATCTGTTGCCTTTGATGACAGAAACAAAGTAAACAACACAGGCATGTGGTCTGAGTAAGCCAGGTACCAACACACCACATGTTTAAACCAGGTCAAGAGTATGTCTATGTTCCTGGGTCGGGGCACAAACATACTGCACCAAATCAAAACAGACCATAATTCTCAATAAATCATTCACCATTGGTTTGTCAGGGTAACAAGTATGAATGTTAAAATCACCTAAATCTATCAAACTCTGGCAGAAAGTCCTTGTACGTGGGTGGACGGTACACCACCATGCACAGCACGGGGTCATTACGACCAAGTTCAAACAGATGACATTCAAAACTGCTGCGAAACAGGGAAGGGTGAAGTTGCTTACTTTTAAAAGAGTCCTTAAAAATGGTTGCAGTTTCACCACCACATCCTGACGTCCTAGACGAGTTAAGCCACCGAGCGGAGTGGCATGGCACCGCACCACACCATGGTGCCATGCCACGCGGTGGCGTGCTGCATGGTGGCACAGTTGTTAGCACTGTTGCCTTGCAGCAAGAAGGTTGCAGGTTCGAAACTCGGCTGTGGCCTTTCTTCATGGAGTTGCATGTTCTCCCCATGCATGCGTGGGTTACCTCCGGGTACTCTGGTTTCCCCTACAGATCACAACATGCCCTACAAGTTAAAAATTGTACGTCGCTTTGGATAAAAACGTCTGCCACATAAATAAACATAAAATAACAGCACCCTGGAGGCAGTAGTTTGGAAAATGTGGTGGATTCACTTTCAGGAGATGTCCGTGAAGAAGTCCCTGATGATAAAAGTTTTGTTCGATAGAGACCTTGCGTTAAGCCTGAGTCATGCTTCTGCGTCTGCGTCAGTGCGGAGACACGCAACACCATTATCCGTCCTTGCGGGCCTGCTGGAGAGCCTCCACAAGGACGCACGGAGTCAAGCTCTCTTTTCTAAACATCCATCCATTGAGATGGAGAACACAAGCTTGTGATTGGTCAGGGCACCGCTGTTGTCTACAACGCTGCCATTGCGCCCTTAAAAATGTAAAGAGAAATCAAGATATCTAGCGGCAGACATGGAGAAGCTTGAAGAATACCTTGCGAAAAAACTCTAAAAATTTGAATGTTTAATTCCCCCGTGACTGGAGGAGTGAAAAGATATGCAGCAAGCATTTTATTTGTGGACGGAAATGACAGGAAATGTGGGTTTAGAGGAGGCGAGCGCATGAAGAGGTGGAGGAGGATGAGAGACAAATTTGTCTGTGTTAAAATGTCACACTGAGCAGGAGGAGGTAGGACCCAAAACGCAGAAGCCCAGAATGACTCGAGGCAAGAGCAGTTGAAAAAGGTAAAATCCTTTTATTAAGGTGGCAACAAAAATAATTTAGATGCAGGAGTCAAATCCAGAAAACTGAAAGTCAGGAAGCCAAAAAACAAAAGCTCAATAATGAGCACAAAGACTAGAAAATGACGAGGGAACAAAACAACGCTGACTCACAACAATGGACTGACAAACACTGAAGGACAACACAGGGCTTTTAAACACAGAGGGAGGTGATCAGAGGAACAGGTGACAGATGTGAGTGAGATCTGGAGGGAAGGCAGGTGCATTCAATAAACTAAATGGGGAAAGAACTAACCCCCAAATTCCACTACCTCCGCTCCGCTCCGCCCCCGCCTTCCGCAGCCGCTCGCTTCCGAACTCAGTTTTTACTGCTACCCGCTCTACAACGGCTCCGCTCCGGTGCGGAGACCTGAGGGGGGCAAACAGGCATGCGCGGAATTTTCAAGATCTTGCGATACAGTCCGAGCAATAAACGCGGAAGTTAGATCCAAACACCCGTTGTGTGGGAGAAGCATCGAAATGAACTGTTTAATCTGCCCATCATTTGTGTTGAGAGATCAGCAGTGTTTGGATCAACAAAGTGTGACTACTTTGATAGTGGAAACTGTATTTATGGCTTACTTTTGTGCATTTAAAGTTCAGCCGCCATTGATAGTTGTTAAAAGTTGTTAAACCTGTGCGTATGAAACAAAAAACGCCTTTTGTTTATCGATTTATTGTGAAATAACGGAAGCTGTGCTTGCTCCCTTTCCTGTTGGGCGGTTGTGATTCCTGTCCATTGACTGCGGAGGTGCTCTGGCGTCCGGCAAAAGTAGGATCGATTCTATTCTTGCCGGACACTGGAACAGAGGGCGCCGCATTACCGCAGCACGGCCGCAGTAGTGGAATAGCTCTGATTGACTACAACGGGACCGATTTTGCTGCAGAGTTTGTGCCGGAGCGGAGCGGAGGTGGTGGAATTTGGGGGTAAGCAGGAGAACCTGGAGGAGAACAGGAGGAGGCTGGGGACAGAGGGACACAGAACATGACATAAAATGTCTCATCTACAAAAAACACAATATAAACACACTATCTTGGACCGATACATGACAGGATACACAGAACAGCGCTACGCCCTCTGTTGTCCTGGCGGGGAATTGCTTTGCAACACTCTCCAGGAGACGGAGAAGTATGAGGGCAAAATGTCTCCTTCGGTGTGTGCGTGTTTCTCCCTTTTGGAGCTGACGGAGGAGCATGACTAAGGCTTTAGCCAGTCCAAACGTAATGGCCGGTCTCAGGGCCAACCCAATGCTAGGCCAAGAAGCCACAAATTGGCGGCATTACTCCCATGCTGCCGAGAACAGGAGGAATAAAGATAGTGATGAAGATCCAAACAACTGAAGCCAGAAACAGGAACCAGCCAGGAGCAAAAGGGCTCCACCAAACACCTCGGATCCCTGAATAGGAATATGCCATTTGCCGCACCGGGAAGAGGTAGCTGCGCAAACTTCAGCCTCGTTAACTTTCCACCTCGCTTCCCTCTGTGTTTCCCCCGGTGCGATGAACGGCTCCTCCAGGGCAGAGGCACTGTTGCACAGCACAGATATACTGGAATCCTAGCCAA